TTAGTTACTTTTTTAAAAATATCTACTTTTCAGCATTCAGGCTTCCTAACAATAAAACGAATGAATGTCTCTATTTTGCCATTTTCAAATGACCGGTGAACACGTCATATATGTGTGCTTTAAACACACTCGTGCAAAATAAACTTGATTCAATGTTCATTCGCAATTTCACTTTTCCGGCAATTCATCTTGATAAAGCACGATACACAAAATTTGTACAATCATGAGTGAAATTATGAGACGAATGACTTGCTTTCACTTTTTATTCTGTGTTATTGTTTTTTCATAGTTATATTTTGAGTTCTTTTTTCAGAAAATAAGATCTAGTCATATTCTATGCAGTTTACTTCAACTATCTCATTAACACTGAGTTATCTTCCCCACCCCCCACGTTTGATGGTACTACCTAGTTCCCTTGGCTGAAGTAGGCAAACCAACCTTGATCTACTTGGTGTTAGCAATCATTCAAATGTGTGCGTATAATAACCACCCACTATGATGTTATGCCTGCTAACCACAATCTTGAAAACACGCTTGGAACTAAAAACTATGTTTCCCACGCGATAAGTGGTTTGACTTCGGCAACGGCCATCTATCTCATTCTATATATAAAGTCAAATAAAAATCCAAAGGTGTTTGCCTTCTTCTTCTTCAAAATCAACGTTTTAAGTCGCTCATATATAAACACAAGTTGGATGTACAAGTAACGCATACAAACGCATACGACACAATAAATGATTACAACAAAAACGAAATGCTTAATTTGCGATGCTTCCCTGTACAAATGAAACAAAATAAAATCATTGTTCCATACTTTCATCAAACACTTGATCCACATCTAAATGAATAACCTCACTATTGTATTGATCATCTTTATTGGATACCTTGGTATTACTGTTAACCTGGGTATTGCTCACATCTGTTTGTGCCTTCGTCACAGGTGAACCAATTGGATTGTCATTACTATCAGTTATTGGAGATTGATTAGCTGCACTATTTGGACTATAGTTTTGATCATCACTTAGGACAGTTTTCTTGCCATTGATTTCTTTTCCAATTGTAGACCATAGGATCGGTTTTGGGGCAGGGACAGGCATTGGGACTGGTTTTTGCGATGAATTGTCTTTTTCTATCTCCTCGAACTTATCATGGAGCCACTTTTTCGATGTTAAATCGGAACGCGATGGGCGTGATCGGGTTGGTGAGGGTGAAGGGCGACGGGATCGACGATCTCGTTGATAGCCTACAGTTGAAATTATTTAAAAGATGACATTTTCATAAGACTAGTCACAATAGATCTTGATATAAATTATACTAAAAAAAATAACGAAGAAATCACATATATGGAGATTACACAGTGGTTCCTGCTTCAAACGTACTTTTGCCAGCAGAATATGTGACTGGAAATCTTTATTCCTACTGCGTCAACACAAAGTATTATAACAAATATTTCATGTGCTTCAGCAGATTTAACTAGAACCAGTTGAGCATCTATAAAGTGCCAATGAACAATACAGCCCAGTGAATCTTTTACCAACTACAATTTGTTGCATACTAACCATATCTCAAAGTTTACGATAACAGTGGTATTCTATTAGGCGTGCTTAGTGGAAGCAAGCAATTTTCGGAAATCGTAAACACATAAAATACCCATCTTATATTAGAAGCTAAGTCAGTTGGCCCTGGCTCCACAATCTCACGAAATGACTTCCGCTCCTTATCTTACATTCTGGATGGAAATCTAAATTTGTTTGGCACGCATATCACCCTAACTTGGCATAAGAGAAGATAAGAAGGATGGTTGTATGTGTCACAAATGTAATAATAAACGATGTTGTGTCGGGTTTAATGTACACGTTTCTGACAAAATCGCATCATGGGTAGAAAAGGCTCGTTATAAATCCTTCCGATTGCGTTACACATATTTGGCGATTGTGGAACAAGGCCAGTGAAACTAGTAATTATAGACAGACTACAGGTTTCTAACCGCATATCTTTTCACTCTAATCTAATATTACATGGATCGACGCGGTAACGTAGATACTTCGCGTTAAGACTGAGAAAAGTATAGGAAGTCGATCGATGATCTTGTGAAACCCCCTCTACAGATCTCCCTAGTACATGTCTTAGACACATCGGACGGTTGCATTCTCCGAGAAACAACATCTGCTGCTATGGGACTCTAGGTATTGTAAGTTGTCTTAATCCAAAACATGATATTAATTCATGAGGTCTGTCTGAGTTATTTAAAAAGCGGGAAGTGGCTACGATGGAGATTCTCCGGATACTTGAAGTTAGTGGTTAGAGGCTCGTTGGCGTTCACTACCATGTAGGCATATTGATTTTTTTCCTCATCTACGAAGTTGTGAATCCTTTTACGAATAATTCTCATCATTACACCCTTTTTGGCAATGCTGGTGTTTAGGAGAATAGTAACTCGAACTAATAATGTACCCTTACACAAAGGTCTACACCAATTAGTGTAAATAATTCGAAAACCACATAGGATTAAGCCATATTCTCAGCAAATATTACTACTAAATGAATAGATGTACACTTACTGGAAGAATATAAACGTTCAGATCGAGAATTGTTTAATCGGCGTCTCGTTCCATATCCATCGTCTGCTCGGTCGTCATGCTTCACACATATCGAAAGAAACAGTTAAAGTTCAATTTATTGAGAAGAAAAATTTTATACCAAAACGAACACTGCAGCTAGATTTTCACACAAAATTCTGTCATACTTTGTACAATACGAAAATTAATGGAGTCAGCATATCTCCAATACTCGCTAGAGTAAAAATGCTACATATAAATAAAGACTTCACTCGTCTAATAATAATAACTCTATGATTTTATTAAACTGATTTTTGTGATCTCTGCTGAAGGAACAACCACCAATGTTTATCATTACACGCCCGTTATTCAATCATATAACCTCCACGACATATGCACCACACCAAAAAAAGACGTTTTCTCGTTTGGTTTAATAACCAAAATGCATACCGTATTGATGGGCTATAATACATGGATCCGTTAAAAGAAGAAAAGACAGCACTACCCGTCGTTGCCTTTTCGTAGTCTCTGCGTACGCCCCAACAGACTGCAGTTCGGATGAATTAAAGGATGACTTCTACCGAAAACTGTCTAATTTGCTGCAAAAAGTAAAACGCTCAGATATAGTTGCTTTAGTAGGCGACTTCAATGCCCAAGTAGGGAAGTTGTGCCAGACTGAGGTGTATGTAAGTGGTACGTATGGAGTTCCCTGTCGACGAACCGACAACGGTGATCGTTTTCTACAGTGTTGATCAGATAATCATCTGTTCCTAGTCAACACTAAATTTAGGTACAAAGAGAGACATTGTGTAACCTGGCAACCTCCATCACTAAATCAACACTGGACTCAGATAGACTCCATAGCCATACGGTATCGTTGGCGAGGGTCAGTAGAAGACTGTCGCTCCCTCTTGAACACGTGCGTAGACTCTGATGACGCTTTGGTTCGCGCACGTTTATGCTTACGACTAAACGGACGTAAGAAATTGACGGCAGCAAAACAGTTACGTCCCCAACTAGATCGAGACACTGAGTCCTTATTTAAGGAAGGAATAGCGAAACGAGTTTCCGAGGTCGACAGCACAACTTCCCCTGAGGTAGCCTGGCACAAAATACAGTTAGCTGTAGACACAGCTGTAAAAGCTGTTAATAAGCTAAAACCTAAAGTTAGTAAAAGCCATTGGATCTCTACCGTCTCATCCGAACTGATTGACGCAAGAAAACTAATTCCTGCGAGCTCCGATTATGATGAGGAACGAAATGTACTCAAACAAAAACTAACAAAAAGTCTTCCCAACTACCATGAACAGTGGTGGGCGACAAAAGCGAAAGAGATGGAAAAGGCATCGGCGATTGGCAACACTATATAGGCTTATCAGGGAAACAGGTGGCAAAAAGCAAATGATAAGTGAAACAATCTCGGAGAAAAATGGCACTATAATTAGCTCTCAGGATAGACGACTGGAAAGAGCATTATGAGGTGCAGTTTAATTGGCTCACAACCACGCTCAACTTGCCGAACATCATACACCTCCCTGAATGGGATATAGACACTGGTCCTCCGTCCCTAACTGAGGTTACTAAAGCTGTCACTAATCTGAAACAAGACAAAGCAACGGGACCTGATGGAATGACTCCAGAGGTATCTAAGTACGGTGGAGACAGTTTACTGTCCGCATTAACTGAGGTACTAGGCAGCGTCTGGGAATCAGAAGAAGTTCCATCGGGTTGGTGTAAGTCATGGATTATCCCCATATACAAGAAGGGAGACAAGTCTTCCTGTGATAATCACAGAGGGATTAGCTTGACTAATATAGTATCTAAAGTCTTAGGCTCAATAATCATGCGTAGACTAAGTGGTGCTTGGGAGGCACAAACACGAGAGAACCAGGCAGGCTTTAGACCAGGAAGAGGGTGTATTGATCATATCTTCACCCTCCGACAGGTCCTAGAACATAGTCATTCCTACCGGCGTCCAACAGTTATTATATTTCTTGACCTAAAGGCGGAATTCGATTCTGTCGACCGAGAGGTACTCTGGCGATGTTTGGCTGTAAAGGGAATCCCGAGAAAACACACTGCACTAATCAAAACCCTCTACTCGAACTCATGCAGCCTGGTGAGGGCTTACGGCGAGTTGTCATCTGAACTGGTGACGACTAATGGTGCCAATTAATCCTCATTTCTATTCAGTTTCATCATAGATGTACTAATGGACTTAACCCTTACTCACTTCAGACATTCAAGGATTGACTTGCTACCGGGCTATGAATAATCTCGTTGACTTGGAATATGCAGACGATATAGTCCTTCTAGGCGAGGACGCTGACAAAATGCAGAGTCTTCTGAACACCTTGAGCTGCACTTTACGATTGACATGTTTGGCATGCGATTCACTCCCGCCAAATGCAAGATGATGTTACAGGACTGGACCACACTGAATCCTAGATTAGAAATAGGGAGTGGTAGAGCACGTTGACCGCTTCACTTATTTGGGAAGTACCATCAACCAGTCCCAACGGGTTGATCTTTGACGAAATCTCAACACGGATACAGAGGGCTCGTTTTGCATGCGCCAGTATACGCCGCCACTGGCGTAGACGTGATATCTGGTGGCTGTCGACCGAAGGGCGGCTGTACTGCTCACCAGTACGCTCCGTCCCCTTTATGGCTTTGAGACGTGGCTATTGAGAGTGGAAGACATGAAAAGATTAGCTGTCTTTGATCATAGGTGCCTGCGTTTTATCTCCCTTGTCAAGTGGTATTCAGGTTACGCGACGAATGCTAGACTAGGTAAGGAGGGGAAATCAATCGACGAGGCTGTGAAGTTACACCGATTGAGATGTTTAGGACATTTGCTATGCATACATACCTAGCCATCGCCTTCCTCGACCGACGGGTTATGTTAGCTGACATAGGGTCAGGCTGGAAAAGAGCTAGCGGCGGCCAAACCAAAACATGGCTTCATCAGTCAATGAAATCTACAACAGTTAGTTTAAGTCACGTAAGAAGGTGTAGACTTCCTGGTTGGGGTCCTCGGGACGTTAAACTCCAATGGTTGGAAACAATTGGTAATATGGCTCAAAATCTTTTTCAATGGCTGGCTCAGATGCATCCACTCCTTGTGACCTATGATCTCCAATGAAACTGTTTTGTTCTTCGTTACTACTATTCCTTTGTCTCACACCTCTCTTTACTGTCTCTATTATGCATTTTTTCTCTTGCTTTGTGTGCTACAACAAGGGAGTGTGGCGACCTGAACTGTCGCACATATGTGCAAAGTTCTATGTCAAAAATAGACAGACAGACACAATATATGGCTTAAAGTTATACGATCATAACAGCAATATTTAATTATATTAATAACACTTTAAAGTACTTAGATAAGTCCTGGGCATTTTGAATACATATTTTCTAATTCTAAAATATACAGGTTTTCCTACAGGCTGAAATGTTAAGTTAAACTTACAAAAAGGATTATAGCCATAAGAAATCGAATTCTGAATGTTTTTTCGTATAGTTTCAAAAAGTGATTAAAACAATAAGAACTTACGAGATAATAGGATTGACCTCTCGGAGTTTCTGAAGGATCCAAGGGATAAGCTTTAATTAAACAGAGTAGCAATATTTAACCATGTTCAACGTAAAAACAAGATACTTATATCATTCAGGAAAAAAAATACACAACGCTAGTGTTCTTCAATCGTCCAATGGACTGCAGTAGTCTGAGAGAGAGTCAAGTGTATTATCACCCTAACAACTTATTCCTTCTGAAGACTGTAAAGTTGTTACTCAACAATCAGGTTGACTTCGAACTCTGATCTTCACAAATCACTATAACAGAATTTTTCGAAACATTTTTCAATACATACACTAGTCCTCTTGGCTGGGATCGCCAATTGTTTAGGGGAAGTTATGTCAAAGAGTGACATCGATTCGTAGAGTCTTTGATTGTTTGTTTGAACCAAATGAAGAAGCAAAGACTGTCATCTTAAGGTCATCGAGATGCTAAGATCCAATGGCTGGAAAATGTTGGTGAAACGGCTCAAGATCGTTCTGAATAGCGCAGATGTATTTACTCTCTTTACACTCTCAGTTTCAGAAAATCCTCAAATTATTCTTTCTCCTCATTTATGTGTTCTAAATGGAATGTGGCAACTTAAACTGCTGTACAAAGTCCCGCCTTCGAAATCCAATCCTTCTGCCCGACCGATAGCTGCTACCTTGACGTAGTGGTCGGGCTTGCATATCGCAATGATACTATTCCCACCATTCACATTTTATTACCACTCTATTACTGTTTATTAATAACACACACACACACAGATCTTAAAGAAAACTACTTTATAGCCTTTCCATTAGTTCTTGTCTATTCTACACTGGCTTATTGATTAGCCATTATCTCACACTTATTAGGTCATGCCAACTTCTGTCCCCCTTCTAACTTACAATTAGTCACCCCTTCTTACACCTAACATTATGTAGTAGAATTTTCAAGGACAAAGTTTACCAGTATCTGATCGGTCAAAAAATTTTTGTGTTAATTATAATTATGATTGTACAGCTCATGAAAATGAATCGTCGAAAAGAAAATTCTCTTCACTGTTTGTACCTTTTTCTTATGACTCAATATTGGAATATTTCGTTCGTATCGCAATGACCCAACAGGCTACACGGGCTGAAACTACTTTTCCTACAGGCCCTACCATGCCAGGAAGATTGTTAGGATAGCGACTAGACTAAAAGCAGTTACCCCACTATGCTGGGCGAAGTCGTATTGCTGGGGGAACAGGGGTGTAACAACGATGAGGTATTTCCCTCAGATGACCAGCACGCTGGCTGTCTCGTCACTCTGGAAAGAGGGGGTTAGGAAAGGTCAACCCCAACAACTGTACATCTCGACTTACCCGGGGTGGTCCGCAACCGGCAGTAAGTTTACTCATACGGAACCTATCCAAGAAACCAATACATACAGGCCATGTGTGACCCGCCTAAAGCAGTTGTTCCCTGGGCTCTGAGGTCACGCAACACTAATAGTCTTTCTGTTTCAGGTACCTGAAGAATCAACCAACTTCCACGATGTGGGCAGCCGAGAAGTAACAACCGCCCACACACCTCCAAAAGCACACGAAGCCAATCCTCACAGTGGTGAAATGCCTCACAGCTGGTAAATTTAATCTGGCATCAGATACAGTTAGACTAAATGGACTACTGCATAACAGTTACCTGTAAAAATTTAATTTAAATAGTCTCATAAAAACTCCATACAGAGATTCATGCTTTTTTGCTGTAGAATGGAATTTACTTTTTAAAAAGTAGCTTGCTAGTTGCTTATTCATGTTCATTTGAACTCAATTACCCGAAACAGATCATTCATGTATCAGACTAACAACTAGACTTTATTGAATGGGTCTTAATGTTACCACCTGATTGTTCCAGGCTTAGGTTAGTGCAGTGGAAATCGAGTCCATTCATACACGTAAACAATATGACTTATTTCCGAAAAATAAGTGTCATTAAAAATTCTGTAACGCAAATTTGTACAGCTATGCTGTATAACAGCTAATTTCACACAGTTATAACCGTAGGATCGAAAGTTGTATGATAGCTGTAGAGCTATGGAGGCTTAAATTCAGCCTAATAACATTAAAGAAATAATTTGCAGTAAGAATGAATAATTATACTGCTTACTACGCTTTGAATCCATTAAGCGTTCATCCACACGACTGCCATAAAATCGACCAGGACCTGTAAAATGACTTATGTCATGATACTCACTTTCTCGTTTGGTTTCCGAATGATTGGGTTTTCTGACCTCATTAGAAAAAAGGGGAGAGAAAGAAATATCCACATGTACTCAAGAAAACTGAGAATTCAGTGAGAGGAAAAAATATCAAATATTGCTTTTCATAATCTCTTAACATATAAAAGGATTTATTTGGAACTTTAAAATACAAAAATATATCTAGAAAGGTTTTAAAACATTATATATGAAGAATGATCTCATGTAATGGTTTATACGCATTTCCAAAAAAGCAATGTGAGAAATACTTCGGCTATCCTACTTCTAGGATTTATCAATATATACACATATACATCATATCACATATCTCTGTTGACATGTCGCCTCCTGGTACAGACTCTTTGACGAAGTCTGACGATTTTTTGGTGGATGGTGAATACCTGCGGAATCAAAGGTGCGCATATAATAATAACTGTTAGTAACAACAGAAGACAAGGGCCAGGCAACAGATCGTTTTATTATGAAAATCAACACGTATTTATACATATTATAGCTTATGCAAGTAGACAAGCGCAGTCATCTGATTGGTTGTTTATCAGAAGTTAGGCAGACAAACACAGGCTTCTGATTGGTTGTTTCGGGATTCCTCGACAAATAGAGTTCTCTATCTGCGAATCATATTTTGCCACGTTAACTTTGCTGTGATTGGTTGTTGAATCAGCCTTGCTCATATTTTCTCACGGCCTGCTCTCACCACATTAGGACGGACAATGTTCTTTGTTCACTGTGAAGTCATGATTTATGCATGTACTGGCATGATAACCTTACTAGACAGTTTTCGTTGATTAATGGCTTCATTTTCTGAGGGATGTCGAAGTCATGCAACCGATCACATTTGTTTTGTCTATGGTTTAAACTCTAGAGGGTTTGTAAATATAGTACACCACTTATTTTGTCTTATAGAGATTGTCGTTTTTTTAAAGCCTGATGTTTTTGTGTATCTCAGTGTGAGGGATATTTTCAAGTGATCAGTTGGTCATCGTATAGTGTTCTGGAGAAGCATTCTAGTCAAGTTAGACGAACCCACGATCCGGTAGCACGCCATCATAAGAATAACTGATACGCGTTACAAAAGAGATGGCTTCCATGGCCAGAATAGTCAAATGGATAATGCTTTTGGTGTCTGAAACGAAGGGTGCTGGGTTCTAGTGACAGTGGGAACACCACCACTGTCACAACAGATCCATTTTAACCAGTTCCAAATAGGACTGAGTAGGCTAGTCGCCATCCACCAAAAAACAGAAGACAATTTCCCTGGTAAAATGAAGAGGCAATCAATTTAAAACATGTGCTACTTACTTCTTCTTGCTATCAAACAAATTAAAAAAACAAACAACAGGGTGGAAATTTTGAACTTACACAACTAACAATAAAAAAGACCAACCAATTCGCGAGATATACCGATCATGAAATAAAAGTTTAAAAATCGGATTTTCGAGAAATACGATCAAAACTGCATTATGGATAAAAAATTTCGATAAAGTCTCACAGTGTTTTACAGTAAAATTTACTGATGACGTTTCGAGCACAGTCTATTAATCATAATCATATCAAGGTATTTTAGGGATTCAGTTATGCCTCACATCTACTATCTTTAAATTCCAAGGTAAAATATATAGACAAACAGAAGGTGTAGCAATGGGATCACCAATATCCCCTATTGTAGCAGACATATTTATGGACAGCTAGGAAAATATGGCTCTTAATACATTTAATCCTACTCCAAAAACATGGAGATGTGGAGATATGTGGATAACATTTTCACAGTGTTAAATAGAGAATATATTCCTAGCTTCTTCACATATATAAACTCACTAGTTAAGGAAATAAAATTCACATTTGAGTTGAAAAATGAACAAGTAGAATTAGCTACGTTAGATTGCAAAATCAAACGAATAGAAGGTAAACTACACACTAGTGTTTATAAAAAACCAACGGATTCTAATAGATATTTAGACATTAATTCGCCTCATCCGTTATCTATAAAGACAGGTTTAGTTAAGTGTCTAACAAACCGAGCCATAGCACTAAGTAACACAACAACAAACCTACATGACGAAATAAAACAGATAGAAGCGCTGGTATCAAATAACTATTCTATAAAATCCATTAGGAAGATTAAAAAAGGTCAAAAGCAAAAGAAAATAATTGTGAAACTAGTAATGATAACATAAATAAGAGAATATAAGGCATCTGTATTCTTATCATATAAGGAGGTGATATCTGAGACTCTATGCAGGATTCTTAATAAAGCAGGAATTAGGGTGGCATTCATACCTACAAACTAACTCAGGAACAAGCTCTGTAGGTTAAAGGACCCAGTTGACCTAATTAGACAAAATAATATAATTTACAAAATACCCTGCAATGACTGTGATTTGAGTCAACTACGCAGGTCACACTAATAGATCGGGAGTAACCAGATTGTCAGAACATAAGAATTTAGCTAAGGTAAGAATGATTGACCCCGCGAAGAGAAGTAAATTTTTAAAAAGTCCAACGATTGCACTGCCTGCATTAACACACGATAACACAATAGGGTGGGAGAGGGTTAAAATTCTCAAGGGGTTAATTAGATTCCCAGTTCAAATTCTAAGTGTGATCAGTTGAAAGTTGACCGTTTAACTCGAAAGGTCAGATAGTCCCACACACACACACACACACCCATGGGAATAACCAAAAACATAAAAGATATATGTCACAATGAATTCGTTAACACAAGATAACATACCGTGAACTTGCAGATGAAATTGTATCTGATAAACGTTTGTATATGAGAGCTTCATCAGCTACAGTGTTGTAAAATTTGATCTAGATTTTTTTTTTAAATAGAAATTTGAAAAAAACATTAACTGAGAATTTCATTAATAACAATCTTAAAGCGGTTCTACATGAGGTCAGATAGGATAAGTTTACACACCAACAAGAAACGTAAGTCGATTCTACAAGAAGAACCATACAAATCTTAGGAACAAAAAATTATTGTATGCACGTTAGTGACATGATTTTGAACAGCTATGCATAACGTGTTTACAAAAGCATATTGGGGAAAAATGCTTCAATTTTATTTCTCAGAAATTCATACACATGTAGCTAGTGCGATGCTACTGGGGTTCAAAGAATTCCCAGATCGCACGGTAAGTAGTGGAGAAAGTTGGTCTCCCAACTGTTATTGAAACTAAAACTAACGGACAACAGTGATTCAGACCTTGTTTTCTCCGGAATTCTGAATGTTTTTCAATTACTGCTAATACCATCCTCATTTTTCCTGTGTTTTCTGTCGTATGAAATATGTTTAACATGTGACGTTACATGATATTACATTTTTCTCTTCACACAAGAATTTCCTTTTATAAATTTGAACAGAAAAACAACAAACATCGGCGAAGAATAACATATATCCATTTTGTTTTGTTGGTTCTCATCAGCTGCATACAGCCTATAATCCTTAATAAACAAAATTCAGGGTAAAATTTAACATACTTTTGTCTATTAACAGGCATATAATAAGAGTGCCACGGAGTGCAGCTGATGAGAACCAACGAAACCAAAAAGGTCTACTTTATTCTGCACCAATGTGTTGTTCTTTCTCTGCTCAAATTTCGCTTTTCATCAGATATGTTTTTCGGATATAGCGCACAACGGATGGAGCATTTTTCTGCACTTCCGGGATGATTGTTGCGTCATTTCTATCACACATGTTGGATGTTAATACAATGAACCAAGACTCATTGATTAACCTTCCTCTCTTTTTTCATCTTTTTTAATGCGTCCACCTCTATAATGCCCTACTATATGAACGTATGTGACTGCATACACTGAGATGATTGAGACGTTTCTAGACTACATATCTTCTCAGTGAGGTGTATTATCTTAAATCCAGCTGAAGTCCTACATTCGAATAGTCCAACTGATGAAGACAGACTAGTCTGAAATATATTTCATCTCATAACTATTAATTAAACTATGTTTGTTAAAATAAGTATTTTCGTCTATCGGAGTCAATGGCATCCTCCTTAAGCTGACATACTTTGCCAGAGTAAGCAGACCTTACTTTCATAATGTTTTGTATGCATGCATGAACGAGACTGTAGCAATAACTTATTTTAGTATGGCATATAAATAAACCTCAATGGATGTAAGTATCCTACAGATTTCATAACACTATATCTGTCTTCGATATAAGAATAGAACCTCGACACCGTGGTAGAGTATAATTCCATCATGGAGAAAATTTATTTTGATAAAGTCTCACAGTATTATGCAGTAGTACTTACTGAAGATGTTTCGAGCACAATTTATTGCTCAACATCATATCAAGTTAATCACACAAATTTCCGACTTCGTCTATATAACTGCACTACTTCTCATCTCTTGACTTAAGTCAAGTCGCCAGCCATTGGTCGTCCTGTAGCATCCAGAGGATCCCAGTCAGGCCAGTTCACAACCACTCTAAATTGTTCAAACCAACTAACAAAAATATCATGGACTGATTCCAGTTTTCGATTTATTCACCCATAACCCTCTTCCAACCTAATCTTATGTAGGCTAACAGTGATCGCCGAAGAAGGCGATGGCTCGGCATGCACAACACGTGTCCTAGCCATCCTAATCGACTCACCCCCACAATTTCATGATCAACTTACCCTCTATGCCTAAGCTCAATATTACTTACCATATCAAATCACTTAACTCGGAGGATAAAATACAAACAATTGCGGTTACGGACAGCTAGTCTTTATGATATCTTCCTGTGTTGCTCTAAAACAGTTGCTATGTTCAATGAAGTACCTAACTTCGGGAGACAGTATTACAAAGATGACATGTAGCCTTTTATGACAGTCTAAACAGCCAATGAACAGTGACATTGATGTATGCGAAACACCATAATTTACTAATAATCTCGACAGCACTTGAGGAGTAATAATGTTCTACTACCTAATCGTTTCATACATGCATGATACAATTATGCTGACGTCAGAATCAAAAGTACCTCTACGTTTACACTGATTGTCCGTTTTACCTACATTTCTCCATACTACGTAATTCTTTTAGAATATTGATAATAAGAATCGAACAAAGTATTATTAATTTCATGTGATCGATGGTTTAAGAAACCCTGTATTTATCACATAGTTAGTGTTATAAATAACTGAAGCAGTTGTATATCCTTAGGTTTTATTACATGTCTTGATTAAATTTATAACGCGTTAAACGCATTTTGATAATCAATCAATTAAAAGCTAGACTTTAAAAGTCAATCACTTTGATCTACTAGAGTAAAACACCTCAATCTCATGTTACCACCCAAGTAAACAGATGATTAACTTTCTTTGGGTGCATATTTCAGCTATAAGGAGCTAAAAACATGTTAAACACTTTACAGATATTTATGACAACCCAACCGATTGCATGTTCATCGTATATAAATAAGATGAACAATAACTCAACATTACACTGAATTTGGAACTCATTGGCAGTACATAATCACCGGGTTTCGAACCCAGAACACTCTGGTTACAAGTCAAGCTCGTAGATCATTCAACCAACAAGCCTATGAGTTCCAACTTCTACCTATTTGTGATTTTAGCGAGACCACTAGCCAATGTCATCGGCGAGTATTTGTTCTCTCACCTCCCGATAGAGTGGACCTTAGTGGTGACGACTTCTCACTAGGACTCCAGGCAGCTTTGTCCTGTAGTGAGTCACACTACTAACGAGCATCAGATTAAATTTCAGGAAGACGAAATTTGCAGTATAAAATGATATCATTCTATTTTAAAGGTTCTCATTAGCTGCAGACTAACTGAAATTACAATGGTTATATAGCTAGTAATAACGTAATTTAATGTTTAAGTAGTAGTAGAGAAGAAATACTATAAAATTGACGCATCCAAAATGCAAGCATTACAATTTTTAGTTTAAGTTTTCATCAATTTACACTTTTTCAAAGTAGAGAAGGGGGAGGGATAAGACAGAAAACAGAAAAAATTAACTTAAAAAACAAAAGCGGTGACATTTTATGAGATCAAGATTTGTTCAGGGAGTTGAGATCACTGAATTAGATGACTAATTAATGTGATCAAAATCAGAATTCAGTTACCAAGGCAGTGGGAGGTTTATCACACTCTCATTCTGTATGCATAAGTCTGGTTTAAGTCGTTTGATTGCGATCGCTTCGGCAAATTGTAGTAAATTTGCTGTCCTTTGTCTATTTAATATTTTGAAGGACTTAAAAATCGCTACGAGATGTCCGGTATCAAAAACATGTCTGGTAATTGTGCTATCAGAATTTTTGTTTCCTTTCAGGCACAGGTTTCTTGGAATCAAATATTCCCGGCGAGTTGGTCGTCCAAGGGTGACTTGGAGGAGGTCATGCGAGGAGGAGATGAAAGCATGTGGACAGACCTGGAGCAGGGTGAAAAAGTTGTCAGAAAACCGAAGGCAGTGGAGGTGCTCAGCTGAAGCCCTATGTTCCTCTAGGAACTAAAGGATACAATAATAATAATAATAATTAGTCATCTAATTCAATTCAGTGATCTCAACTCCTGAACAAATCTTGATCTCATAAACTGTCACCGCTTTTGCTTTTTTTTGAGTTGCAATGTGAACCTGCAGCTAACCCTGTTATGTTAATTAATTTTTCTGTCTTACCCTCTCCCTTTTTCAACTTTAAAAGCGTACAAATTGATGATGAAAACTTAAACTAAAAATTGTAATGCTTGCATTTTGGATGCGTCAATTTTATAGTATCTCTTCTCTACTACTACTTAAACATTAAAGTAGTCTGCAGGTGATGAGAACCTGTGAAATAGAATGATATCATTTTATACTGCAAATTTCGTCTTCCTTTCTTCATCGAAATTTATCAAGGGAACCAAATGTATGAAATAAATTTCAGGAGTTTGATTTGGTTTGTTTAAGTTTGACCACGGATTGAGATCAGTTTGAAAACCATCAAGGAGTAATGGACAGCTCTACTTCATCATAGTTTGGGACTCCTCTAACTGATGTCAATCGGTGATCAAACTTCAAAACAAATCAAATCCCTACAAAAATACTCTTGAAAATTACACTTCCTGTTACTTTGCAGTAAAAAAAAATTCAGTTTCGTTCACCAGAGACAGCAAGAAATTAGTGATCAATAACAGTGAAGGTTTTAAAAATCATTTATTGTGTTATTCCAAGTATAAATCAGTGGTGATCTCAATTTTTTGCGGGTCATCATAAGATACTATCAAATAGTTATTTAAAGCCAAAATATACCGAATCATTCATCACTCTGGAACTCAGTTTGTGTTTTCCTGTAATTCATTAAAACTAGTTGGAAGAACAAATGATGTCTTTTCGGTGCATTGAAATATACATAGATACTATATCATCGTGGTTTTGGTATCAGAAGATTGATGATAAAAGCCATAGGGAAGATTTAATGGAATGAAATCATAGCGTATACTACTTTCTAACTTATATGAGTAGTTACAGATCGTTGACGTCAAATAGCAGTGCTTGCCGACACAGTTAGAAGTTATCTAAACACCTTCCAACCGTTCCGGTCGATGGGGGGTAGTACGCCCAGGCCGTAGGCAGTTTGACTTAGCTCATAGAAATGAAACAGTTCAAATTACCCAAATTTTGTCACTGCAGGTTATATCAAGACAGTGAGGATCTTAGAAACTAATCATTGACTAAATACTAATTCATCTGACGCTATCAGGATATTTAAAAGCTTTACTAGAAATAACCCACTAATACAAACTAGCACAGACAGTATTCATAAAGCATACGGATAATGATTATTGATAAATACGATTGCTTTTTATATATGTCCAAACTAAGTTCATTTTTAACAGTTTGAAAAAATTTGGGCATTGGGTATATGACATTCATTATAATAAAGGTTTTCTTGTATTTCCCAATGAATGAAAAATAAAACGATATTGTTCTAATTTCCTTCTTTACCTAGCAAAAGTAACTCGAGCTGAAACACAAGTACCGAATGATATACAGAAGAATCAGCTACGACTGTCGTACCCAGATATTGTAACCCACATAGGCGGAAATAAGTTCGTTTTGGTTGGAAAAGTATTGTTCAGTCGACTCGATATCTGCTAAAACTGTAATTTTCCCTTAGATTTCTAAGATGTTTCGTAAGATAAGAAGCAAGTGGTAGCATTTACTACATTCTACACTGATATATTTCGAAGGAATTAGGCGTTTCAAGAGGGCATCATCAACAAAATTGAAGCGAATGTGAAACAATCACAACCAGTAAGGATATGAATGGACTCGTATGCTGAATCGACATTTGTACATCGACAGTTTTGTGAAAATTTGCTTCGCTAATTTAAGCACTCGACTTTCAACTAATGGGTTCTGGATCCGAGGAGTGCCGCTTCATTTACATAAGCCTAGGCGACCTAGGAGTATCATCAACCCTCCGACAATCACTGTGTGTTCTGAATAGCCAATTCCGAGCGAATAAGTTTTATTACAATTAATTTCTACTCATCACATAAAGCGATACTATACAAATAACTTACTCCAGGAAGATCAAAAATAGCTTTATGACCTTCGTTCGGACGACGTGGTATTTTTACTTCACTAATTGGAACATCAAATGTTCCGGACTTTTCCAAAGTTGATAAATTCACATCTATTTGGAGTAAAAATTACATAATAAGAATTTCACTTAGTTGAAAGCGGAAAAAATATAGAGAAAGTATGTACTATTTTGTGGCAGAAGATGACTTAATCAGGTTCACAGGCTAAGAAAATATTCAAAACAAGTCAACTGACTTAAAACCTTGAATAAATGGGTACGGTGAGAGAACACAATCTGCTAAATGACATAGAGAAATCAACAATGCATCGGGTCAATAGTTGTTATAGAGAAATTCCCCAATCTGGATCACTAACGGCAGCGTCGGAACGTCTATCTATCTTCGGTGCAGGCAGTTTTGCTTTATGTCTGTGAAACCCAGCCATTACGAACTGAAGATATGCAGCAGGTTCGTCCGAACAGCTAACTTGCAGTCGATAATGACGCTAAGAAATAGATTCTCAGCTTCGAAGGCGTGTGCTTGTACATAACGGAGACCGTTTTACGCTGGTGATGTTGTTCTGGGACACAGACATCGGCGACTTGCAGCGTAAGCTACGAATGTCATCCCAAAAGCTTCCATACTCTTCACTGTATGCTACCTCTAGAAATGCTAACAGTGTAACAACAGGAGACAAGGGCCAGCCAAACAGATCGTTTATTATGGAAATTAACAAATATTTATAGGTTTTCATGTACATATTATAGATTGTTAGCAGAAAAAGTCTTCTGATTGGTTGTTTCTCACAGAAAGTTAACCTTGCATCTCTTTGTGGCTGTTTCTTGTATGTCAGATTATCTATATGTTAACTGTATCCACCTACGCAAAGCCTCTCATTTTTCTCATGACCAATAGTGGGGACATAAACATTGAGGTAAATTACTGTCCACCAACTTTGACTAACAGCCAGCTCTCACCACAAGAGAAAGTGTAAAAGTCAGCCCACGATGTGGTATCGCGAAACAGATGATAGCTGTGCCAAGTGCACTAGGACTTCATGACTGAGCTCTAATAGAATATAAGACTTAGTGGGTTGATGCATCATCATCAGATATTGCTTAAAAGTGAGATTAACAGCGAATACGGTGTAGTTTATTTTTTTTCCCTTATTACCAAAATTAAGGCATGTAGTGGAGACTTCCTACACTTGAAAAGCTACCTTTACCTACTTCGTTTCGATACTTCCCAACTGTTTTTCTTCTTTTATCCTCATATTCGTCGTTCATAGTTAAACTGTGTGGCACATTGTGGTGCATGCACTGAACCACGTTTGTGTTAAAATAAATCAGCAAAATAATTTGAAAAGCATCCAAAACCAACTTGACAAAAGCCAGTGCACATTCCTGCTGACATTAAATTAACTTGGTTATCTCGAGGTTGTCACTTTTGAGGTCCCATTAACTTTCAAATTTCTACTAAGGTTAAGATCTTAGATAGTGTCAGTCAAGTGGATGATCCCTTTGTGGTCATCCTAGGAAGATATCCCTTTCTTAAACTAGTCTGATGAAACTATCTGTTTTGTATAAACAAACCAATAAATCTTAAGTGTTACACAAGCTATTACTGCAATTAATCTACTCAAATAGTAACTTGTTCCCATGAATTGACTTAAAACACCTACCAAAAGCTAAAAATCAACCGCTGTGCACAGCAGTATCGTGCAATTTGTTTCATTGAACTCAATATGCTCCTGTTTTGATTGACACTTGAGATAATTGACTGACTGGGTTTCAGCATACCACAGAAGTGCAGCAGTTCAAGTTGCCACAATCGATTTAGCAGACAGAGGTATAAAAAAGAGAGAAGGGATTCAAGAGTACCATAATAAGCAGAAATGCGAGTGAGAAAGAATAGTAACATGGAAAGACATTACGGTTTGATGGATATAGCGGAATCACAAAGAGTGAGTGAATTTTTGCCACTGAGAATGATTGCCTCCAGCTGTTGATTCCTAGCATCCCAGGGATCCCAGGCAGGAAGGCGACACCTGTCTACGTGGCAATTAAGACTAGGGCAGCTACAACTAACTGTTAACTAATCTCCACAGATTTCAAAAACTTCAGTGGGCGATGCTATCTAACCTATGGTGAACAGTAGTGAGAATTTTCCCAGCATTGCATGATTTAAAAATAAACTAAGAAATTAAGTAGGTCAAAATGATGTAGCGATACAGTAGTACAGGTCGATATTAGTCTAATCGTTTAGTTTATAACTACTTTTGATAAAAGGTTATAATTCTGGAGTTATTATTGAATGTTTTAGTCCTCGAAAAGCCTCTCGAGTTCAATGAACTGAGTGAATAGTAGAACTCTGTACTCACATATCGATAGCTAAAGCTGTAAGTCGCATATCTGCTTATCAATAAAATACCCTTACATGAACACTCGAAAATCTGGGATTTTATAGTCAACAGTTTTGTCAAAAGCCATCAGGAATGAAAATACAATAATTACCTTAGAAACCTAAGTAAGTTAAGCAACTTTTCTATTTAAGAATCAAAAACCCAGCTAAAATAAAACTCACCAACTGGAAAAGTGCGTTCTATAACAATTGAGATTTCCTTTGCCTGACGCATTAGCGTGGCTGGAGGCAGTTTTGTATTATTAGTAAGTATAAGGTGTGGAAGACGATGGTTATCTCCAAAACGACCATACCTGCATTTATTGTAAACAGCTGTCCCTGAATTAGTAAGTCGAGTAAAACGTTCTGTCAAAGTTATTGGTGAATGTGAACGACGTGTAGTACTCCTTACACCTCCAGTCTGAAAATCTGTGATCGGATTTATACTTGATTGTATTTCAGGTTTCTTAAGTCTTGAGAACCTCGACTCTAAAAAAAACATTTATATGATGAATTTGATAAAAATTGATGCTTACTTTGTTCAGCAGGGCTGACTGAGCGTCGAGGACTACAGTCGAATTTCTTTGAATGAGATCTCTCTCTACTCCTTTGGAAAAAAAGACAAAAAACGGAAAATAGTTAAATGTTATGTGATCTCATAATTATTTGAATAAGTTTATCGTATTTATTCTCCCGACAAAGAAACATAATGATCTGCATATCTGACAGTTTCTGCTCGACAGCACAGGAGTATACAAAATCCAAACTAAAAGAAGTTAGCTCAAGAGACATAAACCCCCAGAAAAATAAGCTGACATTGAGCTTGACTATGAGTGCATCTTTTAAACAACAATTTAAGCTAATTGCTAGGACACAGCATATACACATGCATCCGTTACCAACCGTATCTCTCACCGTGAAACCGGTATTCTATGTTGTTAATTGAGATACCTTTTGGTTGTCTTTCACAGAAAGGGGTACCTTTCTTTACTGTAGGTTTGATGCTCAGATTAAACTAAACGGGCTTTGTTAGAGGGTTTAGGATTACAGTGAGGAGAAAACGAATGTTAGTCACAGTAAGACGTCGTAACAGCTCATAAAGACGCTGATAATCGGTCAAACTAATGACCAAGAGTAAACGGTTAAGAACCATAGCTATCATAATAAACCAATCAAGAATAAAAGAGTAAAGGCTCTTTCAGTAACTATGGAAATATGACAAAACCACCTCCTCGAGAAATGGCATTGAAGATGTTTAAACTGAAGTTGGATGCAATGCTCCAACAATCCTAGCTCAGGTAACAATAAAACCATCGTAACATACGTATAAGCTAAGTGAGATCACACTAATTGTAATAAACAAAAATTGAAATGATCATTCATCGTCACCTACCTTTCCCACATTGAAGAATAAGGTGCATAGCGTTCCTTGGATCTAAAATAATAAAAAAAATTATGAACAAAAATAGTAAAAAAGTTGACACTCAAGAGCAGCAATCTTTAAAATACGAATAAAGAACAAATAATGCAAGTTCATATCTTTGGACGAAACTAACAACACGAAACGAGATTTTACGACATGTAAATAAAGGTGGAAAGTTTAAACATTATTGCTCAACAATTCCTTTTTATGGAGTCACGTAAATATTAAATGAAAAAATGAAGATATTGTATATTTAGTAACAGGAATTTAGGCAATCTATCCAGTTTGGATAAATTCAAAAACATTCTATTATTACCTGTGAACGTCATATACAGCTAAATGTAGCAAAGATTTCCCTTCACATCATGATTTACCATACAGACAGTAAAAATAAGCAACACTGAAATTCATACTCTAGTCTCCACACGTCTAGGTTTCTCCAACTTGTCTTTCCCATCTTCTTTAATTAACTTTTGTAACATCTTATTATCATGAATGTAAAACGGCACTTTACTAGAAATTTTTTGGAAATCCGTTGATTTGGAAATAGTTTTCATCATAAGTAAACTCTAGCTAGAAAACCCCTAACAACAAACGGAGACCAAACAGTTGTTTAGGCATTGATGAGAACCATTAGCACGACAAAATCCAGGAATGCGTTCAGGAATGGGCTCAAGAACGTTATATTTCAGGATGAGCACGTTATTTTCCAACAACTTCACTAAAATCCCATGAACTAATTTTTCACTTTGGTATACCTATAACATAGAGGGACAAGCCTTATCTAGTGTCATCAATGAGTTTATATCTTCATAACCAACGTATTCAACCGTATAAGTTATATGCTGTCATAAAATCTTTAAAATGTTCATCTTGAAATTAATCACTAGTGTACACTACATTGTTATGCATTTAAGTGGAGTACAAACTGAATCGTTTTTACGAACAGGTAAGAACAGGACTTGCTACAGCTTAGTTAATGGCTTGAAGCGTACACCGTTAAGCATCACAAAATATAATCAAACCTATGAAAACAAACTAAACGGAGATAAAGTGGAGGTAGAAAAACCTTTGCATGTCTAGTCAATTGTGTGGGGGAAATCGACGATGTCCTCAACAGCCGACATGAGGCATTTACACTACTTAACAAGTAACTTCTCAGGAATAATTCACAATCACTATCACTATTTTCATAAATCCACCTGAACTTAACTTTTCTAATGCACTGTAAAATCCGACCATACAAGTAAGATTTAATGACACCAATTTCTGTGTCGTTCACGCTGATAAACAAAAATTCAAAAGCTACTACTCCTGGGAGTTGGCCGTTAATAACCAGGGGAAACCACGTGGATACAAAGAAGTTAGTCAAGCTTTCTACTTTTCTCATTTTTGTTCCCCTAACTACTTCCACTTGAAGTACAGCAGTGAGGAAAAAAGTTCTGTAGTCCTGGACGTTTTAATGAGACAACTGTCGATAAACTACGAGTAACACAAGAAAAAAAGTTAGGTTACGTTGACTATCGAAATGTATCTCCATGTAATAAATGTCAATTTTGTAGGAAGTCATAAAACAGAAAATATATAGAATAAGGATAAGTCTATTGCAAACTTTCTTCATTTATGAACAAAAGAAAGATGAGTCAACAAAACTACAGCAGAAACGTTATAACAAGCACTTTTAACACAGTGTAGTGTCATTTAGAATGTTTTTAAATCAACCAACACTATGCCTCGACAAATAACGAACTCAGTTTCACATATTGTTTTAGGCCTAAAAAGTCAAACTCCCACAATAAATGCTTTTTAAGTCGCGAAAGTAATGGAAAATTTTTCATATTAGATGGCTTAACTTAATTGAGAAAATTAACACAAAATGAGATATAGTCCATTCCTAACACAATAGTCTGTCTGTCTGGATTCAACATAGAACTTGGCACCGAAGTGCAGCAGTTCGAGTTGCCACGTTCCAAATAGCACACAGAGGTAGACAAGAAGATGAGTGAAGAGAATTAATAGAGTTTGACAAATATAAGAGTGAAACAGAATGGGTAATGGTAGAAAGGAATATGAAAGATTACAGAGACTGAATACATCTGCGCCATTGACAACGATTTTGAGCCATGTCACCTATTGTCTCCAGCCATTGATTCCTAGAGTCGCGAGGGCCCCAACCCGGGAGTCTGCATCTCCCTACCTGACTCAGTTTAACTGTCAAGGATTTCATGGATTGATGCCATGTTTTTGTTTGGCCACCACTGGCTCTTTTCCAACCTGCACCTATATCAGCTAACAATGCCCGTCGGGGGAGGCGGTGGTTAGGCATGCGCACCACGTGACCTAGCCATCTTAGTCTATGTAACTTTATAACCTCGTCGATTGATTTTCCCTCTTTGCCCAACACTCTACGCCTAACGTCAACATTACTTACCTTATTAAACCACCTAACGTGAGACAGAGATCGCAGACATCTATGATCGAAAGCAGTCAACCTTTTCATGTTTTCAACGCGTATTGGCCATGTTTCAGAGCCATAGAGAAGGACGGAGCGAACTGATGAGCAGTACACACGTCCCTTGGTTGATAACCGGATGTCACGCCTACGCCAGAGATGGTGTAAGTCAGCGAAAGCAGCTCGAGCTTTTCGGATCCGTGCTGAGATTTCATCGCCAATCAGTCCGTTGGTGCTGATACAACTTCCCAAGTAGGTGAAGTGGTCAACATGTTCTATCACTTCACTCCCTATCACTAAGTTAGGGTTGACGTGGTCCAGTCCTGTAGCAGCACCTTACATTTTGCAGGGGCGAATCGCATGCCAAACATACGAAGATTGCTGCTCAAGGTGTTCAGAAGACTCTGCATTTTGTCAGCATCTTCCCTAACAGACTATGTCATCTGCATATTCTAAGTCCATTAGATATTCCCTGGTAACAAGTCGATTCCTAAGTCACTACGTTCAGTTAAGGATACTTCCATTAGCATATCTATGATGAAGTTAAACAGAATGGGGAAAGTGGACATAGTGACTATGAATGGTCAAGAATTCACTTTCCTCTTGCAAAATTAGCTGTAAATTGCAGTGGTCAAGATTTAGAACGTGTTATTTAACGAAAACAGTCTAACCAGATAGAATAATCATAGTGACAATTTGAAACTATTACTGGTAAGAAAAATTACTAACCTGGATCTATGTTTTCGTCTTGGGGAACCGAATCCAGATGACTTGGAACGAGAACGTGATGTATATGATCGCTTCCTTGAAATCATTGTTCAAGTCTGCATCTTTCAAGAAAAGAAAGGCTGGTTAACTTGAGATGGAAACACTAATAGTCGTATCTGAGTGGAAAACCCGAATCCCTTTGAAATAAATCAGTCACCAATTTTTGAATAACAAAAAACTTGAAATCTATGACACCTTTTTTTGAATATCTTCAGCAGACGTTGCAGTACTTAACATAAGAGAAAAACGAAACTTAATCTTGAAAAACTGAACACGACTCACATTACGACCTTGTCTAATACGGGGACAGACTTATAAAGCGCTAAATAATACTCCAATTAAGAAATGTACATTGTGACTCGGATAGTTCACAATACAATGTTCTACAAGCGTACTACCTTGCCCAAAATATTTCGAAAATAGCAGTTAGGTAGAAGTTAGTATTAAGAAAACTCAAATGAAAGTGTAATTGAACAGGAAACAAATACTGTAACTGCCCGAAAATCTCTTCGGAAACAGCTCACACGCATCAATGAAGCAGCTTAGAAGCTGACATGACGAATACAGTTGATATACATAATTCCTAGTGATTGACGTATAACTCACTTTGAAGACACCGCATCAACGGTGGACATGTTGATGTTAATAATAATAATAATATAAATAAGCCATAGCAATACATCCATAAGCCCATATATAAAATTGGCTCTAGTGATAAAAATGAACGATTTCGTTTACAAATATTTAACTAGGCGATTGTGCCAACCACTTTAAGGAACTTGATAGTTAAGTGTTTAATGCTGGATTTCAAAGAAACAATGTAAGTACTGGGGTCTTCAGTGTGGAGAACTGTGAAAATAAAGCGTGATTTTGGGTTAAAGAAAACAAAACGTGATCGTAAGCAAAAATTGCACTTTGACATAAGAAATAAAGACAGTAGAATGTGGGTTGCATATGGTTGTCTATTTGATATATATATATATATATTCAAACACCTGAAAATATGAACTAAGAGTGCAAAATGCTAAACAATTCTTATCGTACACAAACATGCAGGACATAAAAAACAGAAGTAAATAACATGCCAAATATACATATATTTGTTTTATATATCTCAAAGTTGAATCTGTTATTATTGACATCACCGCTTAGATTGTCTGGTGCATAGTTGAAAAAACTAAAATTATTTAGTGGATGAGGAAAAAATCATGTGTCCGTAAAAGTAAACTGGAATGGGTGAAAGAAACATAGTATATACTTTTTTAGATAAAAATCGTTGCTGTAAACAAGCCAGCGATGTGATTTACTAATTTTTAATGTGCGCGAAGCAACGGACCTGCACATTTCCCACTGGGATCTATAAATGAGCAAATATCACAGCGAGTTGCCCGACTACTTTTAGGAGCAGGGTTAGAACCACGACAACTTAACAGTACTGGTGTAGATGGAACCAAACTTTCTTGGAAGGAAGATGATGGTCGTTTGTGTGAAAAAGAAAGTGGACGACAACGACCTGCAGCGACAGATGCACTACGGACATACACTGAAGATGGATATAATGGATATCTTTGAATGTACTCAGAACTCCATGTATTCTCACGTTGTGGACCGTTATTACTCAGATCAGAATACGAAGCAGCCGAACCAGATAATCGGGATGTACTGACGGTCCCTACAGCTGATTTTCGCGGAACACGCACATATTTCTTGTCAGTTTTGCACTGAGGGCTGGTTTTATTTTTCGAAAGACGTGATTTTGGTGCAACAACTTCAGAAGACATTTTGGAGTTTGATGAATTAAACTGATCCAAACCCATCAGCCTTTCTCTACGACGAATTCCAGCTCGAACAGCAGAGGGATAAACCTATGAAAACAATGGAATCGATTGGAATCAAGTGAAAGTTAAATACGACTATCTAGTAAGTGCAAATTTAGAGCCCAAAATCAATCAACATCAGTAATATGGTTGCGGGACATCTTACCAAAACGATTTACACACATTTATTACAGGACTAGTGAGTACTATGGCTGTCAGTTAGGCAGTCTATTTGCGGAGGAATGCAGAAGTTTTCTCCGCAACTTCCTGTTGAAGTGCTTTCAATATTTAGTGTCAATATCGATTTACAATGGTATATATGCTCAACAGTTACAATGAATTAATGCTGGATGTAACAGTGCAATGCCGAGTGCAATCCCAGTTCTCACCTGCAATAATATGGTTAGCAACCACAAATTTCTCCAAAGGTTTTACTTATTTATTTTTTAGACAATTTGAAAATATTTTGCACAGAATGGTGAGGGTATAGCGCCCCAGATAACTTACCTAACGAACCATGTCATTCCCAGAACAGCTGAAAGATTATAACGAAATAAGGTTGTAAAGGTCACAGCAGATTATGGAACCAATTCACAAATTCTGTAACCATTTACCTCAGCATAGTAGATACATTTATGCTGTTTGTATAAGATCCTTATAATACTGAAATTTAACGTTCGAGGACAATGGTTACATGTCCTAGCAAAATTTTCATTGACGCAGTACATTAGTACTTTATTATTTTGAAAATTCTGAGGATCATCACTAATTTCATTGAATGATTCCACTTACTTTTCTGACTTTATCCACTGTTGTGAAGCACAATAACTGGCGGTGATGTGCTTCCACAATTCTGCTTTAGTTTGTTTATCCGTACCTTAACTATATAAAACTGTGCGATGAAAAGAATTCTTGCTGTGTTCTATATTTCTAGAACATAAAAGTAATCCATTTTTCAGTCCATTTAGATATCATTATGGAAGAGTATCTAAAAAGTCGAAATTTACAGTTCAAACCTAGAAACACTACGTCTTATTGGTAAAAATGGTTTCTTGTAAAGCAAATTCAAGGATTCGCAGATATTCCTAAGGAATGTGCACTTAGCAGTATATTCATTGAGTACAATTTACTAACACCTAACTAGCTTTAATAGTGCTCACTATGTAGACAAAAACCATTAGACACCAGGGGAAGTACTGGGAATGTAAAGCTGCACAGGAATACTGGCCGCTTATAAATGTATGCAATTAGAAACTACAATATATTAATCAAAGGATCGGCAGGTAGTGATTATACTGTGAACTCCCTTATGGAAAATAAACAGCACTTTTCAGGCGAACAACAACGAATTTACCAGTGTGGTTGTTTTAGTGACGTGTACGCATAAAAGTCCAGTGGCAAACAAAATATGACGCTGAAAACTAGTACTTGGGATGAACTACTCTTTTAATACTTGGCAGCAGAAAGGAAGATGTAGGGACATGCAGTCGATTTACTTTGAGACTCTATTGATTGCACTGCTTAACAGCTTCAAGCCGCTTCTACATTACATGCACGATGACTGGAATGTACTACAAACCCACCACTCTTGTACCTGCATATTGAAGAAATAACAACCTAGTTATAATGCTAATTTAAACTATATTCACTAAAAAATTCCATTGAATAAACTTAAACGATCGCTTACGTCTCTTTCGGACTTAACGTTAAATGTCCTCTTAACACCAGACGTCGGAGCAGGTGAACCCCCAATTGCATAAGGTACGAAAGCCTTGGGTTGTTCAATCGTCTTCTGGAGACACAATCTCTGAGTTTGAATGCCAACTTCTTTCTTATTTTGGTTAAGACTGCCTTCATCTACTTCCTGTCCATCACCTAGACAACGAAGTTGTGATGTCAGAAAACTCATTCAAACCTTCGTCTGTCACTATGTCATCAGGAAGATTGACAGGGCTGAAGAAGTTTATGTACCCATAAGCGCAAATGCGACATTACCCATCCACCGCAATATCATCGTCTCCACTGTTTTCAGTTGCATCGCATGAAATATTCCCAAGATGTGACACCTCAGGTTCCCGTAGATGAAGATTTTCTAAGTCCTCCCACAAAAATGGTTGGTGTGAGTATTCTGAGTTTCGCTTTTGTATTCTGAACTTTAGACGATCATAATACTCATCTCTAGCGCTGTCTAAGTACGTATAAGACTTCCCGTATTCCGACAAGCTGTCAGTTGACTTCATAGCCACCAACCACCGCGAAACTTGAATTTTGCGCGTAAATAAAAAAGCTGTTTTCTGATGCCGCTGATGAATTTCCGATTAGTAATACAGGAATGTTTTCAAGAAATGCGTTCAGTGAGTGTATATGTTTTTTCTAAAACTGGAACTGTTTTCCTCTGGTTCAGTTGGTTTCCAGTGATAAGTTGGCATCCCAATTTTATATGTGCTCATTAGTTTAACGATGAACCCCAGAATTAAGTTTCCATTTTGAGTTGTTATTAGGAATTATAAGGAAGTTGCTTAAAAGCCTAATGATTATGTTGGAGTTAGATAAAATCAAGGAGAAATGCGTATTTTCCACACCAGAATGCTACCGAATTAATCGAAAACATCGATATCACTAAAACAGACTCTAAATGCTCAAGTTGTTTCAAGGTACTGACTGTATTATTATTGTTCCCGTGAGTTCTTAGAGCTCCATTGGAGCGTAGCCCTAGGAACGCATGGCTTCAACAACTAATCTATATTTGGCCGTTCTCTCTGTAGTCCTCTTCAGCTGGTCTCAAAGTTGCACATAAGCCTTCATCTCCTCACAAATTCTCCTCCTTGTTACCATTTGACACCGGACCCGTCGTTTCCCATCCCGGTTCCACTAGAGAGCCTAGTAAGTGGTAATGCTCAGTGGTCTCCTCAGTAAGTACCTGATCCGTCTCGTTTGTATTCTGCATTCGTGCTGGTTATTTAGTTTCCGGAGTACTTTATTGTTAATCTTTTCTGACCATTTGATCGTTGGTACGGAGTTAGAGCAGAACATTCCTGATGAGAGTCTGCTGTGGTCTGTTAGAAATGTTTTCGCGACGCGTTGTTTCCGGTCCACATAAAAGGACTGACTTGACATTGTTGTTGGAAGCCCATATTTTGTTCTTTAGGTTAGTTGCGGAATGTCTGCAGACTGATTTCCAGGTGATGTACATCTGTCTTGCCTTCTTTATTCTGATTTTGGCATCCGCATTCATGCGAACCGTCTTCAGTTGAAACCACGCTATCTAGATAACTGAAGGAAGTGACCTCATTCAAATTTCTTCCGTAAATAGTCACTGGCACTTGTAGCTGTTTCTGGGTGGTTATCTCCATCATCCCTGAGTCCTCTGTGTTCACTCCTGTCTTCGCCTCGCGCCTCTTCTGACAAATTGTTGGTTTTGTCCAAAAAGTCCTCGGATTTATGTGACATTTGACATAAATGGTCCTCAAAGTCCATGTCTTCTTAAATCTTCGTATCAGTCCAACGTGTTCCTATATTTTCGTTCCCCACAGACAGTCGAACAGAATAATCCACTACAGTGAGAAACGTCACTGATGACAGCCTTTTCTTACTCATGTTTTTACTGCTTTAAACTGAAGAGAGGAGCTAAATTGAACATGCCTAACCAGCAAAGAAGAAAACAGCAAGCACCAGTCCCTTTTGCTTATCTAGGTAGCACCGTTTTAAAAACACGGGGGGACAGATAAGAATGTTGAAGGTAGGATTAGAAGGCAGGATGTAACTTTATTAACCTATAATCAGTGAGGAAATCTAAAAAATTCATTGTAAGGAAAAAGTAATTCAAGTAATTCAGTAATTCAAGTCAGTGCCTGTATGTAAGGGTCAGAGAGTAAGCTTGTATGCCACCAAAAGCATTTCTAACAGGCTGTTGCAGACTCCTGTCAACATCCGCTTTCATTTCATACTGGTGGACAGAAAGGCTATAAACCAACCAAAAAATTTGCAGAAGGGAAAAGAAACGGATTGTGTAGACACCAAGGAGACCACTAAGTGATATCTCATACCAGGCCCCCGAGTGAAACCCGGAGTTAAAATAACGAGTTGGGCGTCTGTGCTTGACGTGGAGGAGGCTGAGTGGGTAAGAATTAAAGGCTTACGGATAAATATGAATTCGGGGGAAAAAGATTGCAGAGGAGAGACTAAAATTTAGATTTGATCCTGAGGCCGTATGCTTCACTCTGAAACCAGGGGAATAGTGACGCCAAACCAATTCCGTTCACATATTTTAGCTCCAGGCTTATTACTAGGTCATGGAAAGTACAATCCATAGTTTTAACATTCTCTTTAACGAGTATGCGAATGATTATATATACTTACTGTATAATTTTTACGTTATGTTACTCGTCAGACACATCGCCAACATTCTGAGCAATATTAGCCAAATGTGACAATTAAATTTTCCAAAAAACAATTGTGGCTTTCAATCGGCCTAACATATCTCCCACAAGAGTTTACTTCACTCATGCTTTTCGCTTCAAATCTCTCTATCAGTACTCCTTATCAGAATCACTTGCTGAATGTTGGGAAACACTGCAACCCCCAGGTTCTACAAATTCATTCTCCCCTGTAAACAGCAAAATTAGAGTAGCCTGTCTTAGAACTTCGCCCAACCTGAATATGTACTGAATTTTCTTGTCCTATAGATCGTCGGCTTATGTGCAAAAAAGACGGGAAATATACAGTTTGGCAAATATTCGGCTTTAAAATCCTATCAAAAATGGTTTATTCTCAGGTCTCCTAATCGGCCATCTGCAAGAAGTATTGGGAACAAAACGTCATCGTCGACTAAAGACTAGCTAGATGCTACTACAACCTGAATCCAAATTCTGTAAATACCGACCATCTATAAGGCAAACAAAACCCAGCCTTAATTTCCATTTCGATACACAATCACCCTCCGCTAATGTTGTCGTATAATCAAATTCCGTGGTGATTTTGATCACTGCAATCACTATCAGGAAGCCATCTCTCGCTCACCACATGCACGTTTCAATGTACATCTGAGGTTGCTTATCTGCTGATTGAGGTGAAACCTAACGAACACCTTGTCAATGTAGTTGAAGATTGAGCGATCAATTCATGCTTGTTTGCTCAAACCCAACTTCTCCATATTTTTCGCAGATCATCGATCCGGCAGTCATCGTCTCTTTGTTCGCTGTTCAAAGGAAGATAAAAAACTATCAGAAACCTTGTGTAATAACTTTATAGTTGGTTATATGTTGGTGTAAGAATAAAGGATTCTTGAGTCGCCAATCAGTGTTCTGGTTTTCGCGTTGGTTAATACAAAGTGTTTCTAAAAGTCTTCGAGGGACAGCGTAAGGTCCAGCGTAGTAAGAGCTGGACATTGGCAGTTTATGAGACATGACTGACACACCTTTTACTACTGGGTAGCAGCCATGTGAACACCTAGTTATCACAAATAAACCGTGTAATCAGAGCATTCCATCTCCACATTCCACCTGCTTTTCTGCTAAGCATAACATCAAGAATACCTATTTTCAGCCACGTCTCGTAAACCGTCAATGCCCAGCTCTTGCTGCGCTCGGGCTCACGCTGTTCCTTGAAGTTTCTCAGAAACGCTTAGTAATAACGGACGAAAAAACCAAAACACCAATTGGCGACTCGAGGATTCTTTATTGTAACACCAACATATAAATAATGTTACAACTAAGGTCTGTGAACAAATATTACAATAATGAATCACAATATTACTTCTGACAGTTGTCTCCTGACTTCCTTCTGAACAGCGACCGATAAAACGATGACGGTCGTATTGATGCCTCCGCGAAAATTGGGGAAGTTGGATTTGAGCAAACAACCATGAATTGATCGTTCAATCTTCAACTGCATTGACACTCCCCGGCAAAAAACCGATCCATCCCTTTTCCCCATCACGATCAATACACGTTGACTTGGATGCCATTGCGAGAACCTGGGTCACACGGACAGAGCTGAAATGGAAAACAAACAGAAAAGCCAACACACCACAAGCATACTCACAGCACAATCTCACACATCGCTGACGACCTGCGCCTCCAGATAAAGGCCTCCTCTTGACATCATGCAACACAATCGCCACTTGCTAGAATGACTCTTGCAGAATGCAACGTGACCATAGCACCACCTCATGATACTCCACGCACGTCCTCCTATCTACTCACTACCAATTACCACTGAAATCGCTTGTCACTCATTCTGCCTCAGTTCTAGTAACGGTGACGTATGCGAGCCTCAGTCGTTCACACTCTTTGAAAAGAGAAGAAGACACAAGAAAACCGCCAGACAGGTGCAGAAGTATATAAAAGGTGTTAATAATTCAAAATATATAACAGGCTTGGGGTTCATCATTTTTTGTCGTGTTTTTTTTCAAGAAATATTATTTTCCCGATATTTTAGTCTTTTCTGCGAACAATTAGTTTAAAGTGAAAGACAGGTGATAATTTCACCTACTTACGAGATTTAAAAGGAATTAAACACAAAAGTCAGAGTGCGTGAGCTATGTAAAAGAAAAGCGAGGGCCTAGTAATATATGTTTTTCTGAAGTATACAGTTAGGTGTCCTTCTGAAGTAGCGGACTCATACCATTTACTTTCATTCGGGAGTTTGCATTTAAACTTCGGCTCTAGGCAATTTTCAACTTCTATTTCTTTTTTCATTATTTTTCTTAGTTTTTACTTTTTTATTTATTCTCATTTTGCAGAAGCCATCCGAACTCAGGAGCCTTAGCAATAGAGTGTTGTCCCACAGATAAGGGTGGTTCACATATGTCCCCACCATCATATCCGCTGACTAGCAGTCACCATCCTCCCACCTTTTTTGTGCAAGGCCCTGTCGGAATGCTTCATTTTTTTAAAATTATATATTTATTTTTTTAAATTTCTGTTGCAATATGCCACAAACATTTTGTTTTCCAAATATTCATTCGTCGACTTACTCAAATTTATGGTATGAATGACTACTTTCAGAAGAACATCATGTATGTTTCATCTTTTACAGCATTTTGGAGACGAAAAATGTAAGGAAGAAAGGCTATCTGAGTCTTCATTTTAGATATAAACAAATGTAGTTTAGAAAATCAGGGAATAATCGTGCAGCATTGAGCAGATAAGTAGTGGTAAGTTATAATATGTTGTTCTAGAAAATTTGAACATACAGGATTATAGTAATAGAATACTCTTGAAGAACTGTAGGACTTACA